CTCCGGTATAGGCGGTGGGTTGTGCCGGAGAGGGTTTATTCGGTAGCGCCATGGTGCCTTCTCTGGCTCGACCGGCGGGTGAGCGGCAGAGCTGGCTTCGGTCGCGTCGGTGGCCGTAGACTCGATCTTTTCCAGCCGCGTGCTGTCTTGACTCTTCCCTCGCCCTGCCCTGCGAAGATCCTTGGGCACTTCCAAGTACTGCACTGGCTCGCTCCTCTTCGCGACGTCCTGCTCTTCGACGTTGTTCTGGGAGATGGCGCGCTCGAGCTCCTTCTCATCGTCGGGACTCGTCATGGCGACCGCTGCCGTATCAGCACACGAATAACAACAGAGAATGGGTGACGAAGCCGAGCAGACAGTCCATCATGAAGTGACGGACCAAAAGTGGGGTGGGGCAAAGAATATGTAGCAACACGGCGTGAGAGACCGTGACGGAAGGACATAGAGCCGGCAACTAATGGCTGGAAGGCAACCGGGATCAGGTGCGAAAACATCCTCGGTGTTGTCGTAATGGAAGTTGAAGCAGCGGCTTTGCGGCAAAGCGGCCTCAAGCGAGCTTTGCAGGCCTAGAACAGTGGATGCGGGCTCGGGGCGCCAGCTAATAGGGACACCGCAGATTAGCCAGTGGGCCACGTCTATTGGGCGGCCCGGGGGAATTCCTCCAGGCAGGCTGCGGGCTGCGGGCTGCGGGCTGTTGGCATGCACTGAACCACGGCCTGGGGCGCTTGAAAATCTGGCGCCATCTCAAAAATGTCCCTAAGCCAAAGCTTGTCTCCGCTCATTTGCCCCAACACAGCAACCGGAACCTCGCTGCCACCAGAGCTTAGCAATACCCAAGCGATGTGCCCTGAACAAGACCCCACCAAACCCGATCCTCTGCGGCATTTCGCACTCGTACTGGATTACGATCGTATACCCCAGTATTCGTACTTCTTCGCGTCTGCCATGGTAGTGACCATGAGGCGACTATACGCCAAGCGGAATGTGGAATTTGGGGCAAAAGTGCACACCGACTGTGGCTCCACAAGGGGGGCAAAGTAGACCAACGGGTCTGTGGTTTGGAGATCTCGCTTCGGATGCCATCGCAAGGCACCTACTGTGTACAAGGGCTCACGCAAGTCCAGCTTGGTCATCATCCCGGGCTGATCGAAGAATAGTCCGCGTGCAGCTGGCTGGCTGCCTGGACAGTCCGTACTGACGCATGAGATCGACGCAAAAGCCTCCACGTCTCATCGTGCCACTGCTCAAAGCTGGCTGGCTGTCCCCCAAGAAGAAGGCCGCTCTTTCTGTCCCATCCTCCAGGTAGGCTTCTGTCTGTGCTACGGAGGACATGTCCACGGCAGCTCAGCGGTCAAGAGAATATCCCAAAGCCACGGGCTTTCGCTCGCACGGAGTACGGACTTTCCCATAACTGCCAGATTCACCTACCCAACCCCACCACACTTTTTGGTGCCAGGATCCGGCAGATGACTACTGTAAAGAGACGAGCATGCCGTCAACCCTTCAAGATTCTTACATCGGGTACGATCCTCCGGACGTATACCTGCATTCCAGAATACCTCGTACTTCACTACATTGAAGAGCGGCGCTTACTGCGTCTTCGTCGGGCCCGAGGAGAACTGTATCGAAGCCGCTGCCCACTAAGGCACCGTCTTTGGTTACATCGAGTGGGGGAGACTTCGAAAACGGTGCACTTGTAGAACGGCCCGGTACCGGCATGTCAACCCCTCAGTAAAGCAATGGGCGTCGCAACCATACATCGATTTCGGAAGGCAGGTACTGCTCGAGGCGCCTCGTGGCGGGCGAGATAGTGATCACACTGCGGTCTGCTCCTGCTCGCGAATCACAGCCAGTTCTGCACGGTTCGGGTCACTACTGACGACTCCACCAAGTTCCATTCCTTCCTCTGTGAGAGCCGAGAAGCGTACACTTGACATGCCTATTTCCAGGCCTTTTTCTGATGATTCTGCTGAAGCACGGCAGCCCAAATCTCCTCTTCACAAATTGGTGCTTGCGGCAACATCCACGAGCAGGCCTGTCGTCCTTCGAAGCTCGCGGATCTTCCCATCCACCACTTTCCAGCAGTCAGGCCCAATGATAACTCGCAACAGCTTCTCTTTCTTGATGAGCTCGCCAACCTCGCCTTCTCCAGTGGCTGCCTCGAACATGACTTTGGCGGCCTTGTCCGGGCTCCCCGTTGCACTGCTGGGCATTTTGGTGATATGATCGAGTCTGGCACTCACCGGGTGGCTGCCTGTATACTCCTCCGACGGGGTTATCTGCTTGCCCACGTCCGACTTGCCAAAGTTTGTCCTGAATGCCCCGGGCACAATAATCAGAACGCGAATCCCAAACTGCGCGACCTCCAGACTGCAAGATTCGGATGCTGCTTCCAGTGCAGCTTTGCTTGCTGCGTACACACCACAGGCGAGACCCGCGGCGACACCTTGGGCGCTAGAGACATTCATAATGACGCCTGATCTTCGTTTTCTCATCCCTGGCAGCACAGCTTGCATGATCCTCAGTGGGCCAAGGAAATTGACCTGCATTTGATATACGGTGTCCGCAAAGGGTATATCTTCCAAAGCTCCGAGCACGCACACACCAGCATTATTGACGAGTATGTCGATTCGACCAAAGAAAGACTCTGCGAGCTGCACCGTCTTGTTGAGTTCTTCTTCTGGCTGCGTTGTGTCGAGGGCGACCCATTTGCCGCCGCTCTTCTCGACTTCAGACACTAACTCTGGCGTTTTGGATGGATTGCGAGAGGTGGCAATGACCGTGTGGCCTTGTGCCATTGCATGACGGGTGAGTGCAAGCCCTAGCCCTGCGCTTGAGCCGGTGATGAACCACACTGGCGCTTCGGATGTGGCGGGCATTGCTGCAAGAGAGTCAGCTAGCTGTCAACCAAGATTGAGACGGTCAGAATGCTGTCGAGTTCACAAGGCCACAGCCAGGCAAGGCCGCCCATCTGCTACTTTAATATCGCGAGGTATTCACTTCGCTTTCCCCAACGCGTTGGAAGTTCCTAGGTAGACTGCTGACCATGTCGGACATAGACCCGGATTTTGCATGCCAATTGTCAAAATTAAGCAGTGATCAATAGGAGGAGGGAAGCTTCGAACAACAAGGCCAGCCAGCACCATCGAGATCTAGCTGCAGATAGTTGACCGTAGTTAAGGTGGACTTTCATTCTTTATGTCCGACACTCTATGGACGGTCAAGGCGTGAATCCAGCCCAAATATAGAGTAACCTTTCCCTTAGAACGTCTTTCTCGGTCAACATACTCTGGTGATTCTGGTGAACACACAACAAAGAAGCCTGGTGCTTGAGCTGACTGCAATCGGAAGCATGAAGCAGGGAGACCGGCGGTTCGGAAGACGCCCTCGGCAAAGTTCGCGCGGTCATTTCAAACCGCAGTCTCGTGATTGGCTGTGAGGTCCACAGCATCATAGACGACCTTGAACGCCACCTGCTCTTCGCTTTCAATTCATCCACACCACAGTCTTCGAGCGAACACTCCCCGCGCGCTCTATCGACCACGTTGCCGCTACAGCTCCAGTGCTGCCCCGACAACCGCCATGGCCGCTCTTCGCACAGCATCGCGCCTGGCTGCGCCTGCACGAGCTGCAATCCGACCTTCGTTCGCCGCACGATCGTATGCCACCGTGACGAAAGAAAGCTCCTACGATCTCAGCGCCAGTCGGCCTCCTATTAACGAATCAAAGACCAGCACCGTGCAAGAACCAAGACCTGACAAGGATGCGAAGATCAAGACATTCCATGTCTACAGGTGGAACCCAGACGAGCCGACCTCGAAGCCTCGGATGCAAAGCTACACCTTGGACTTGAACAAGACCGGTCCCATGATGCTGGATGCGCTGATTCGGATCAAGAACGAGGTGGATCCTACGCTGACATTCCGCCGAAGTTGTCGGGAGGGTATCTGTGGTAGCTGTGCCATGAACATCGATGGCGTCAATACTCTGGCTTGCCTGTGTAAGTATCGAGGTCGCATGGCAGCACCAGCCTCGAATTAACACGATGAACAGGCCGCATCCCCACAGATACGAGCAAGGAATCTCGAATTTATCCCTTGCCGCACACATACGTCGTGAAGGATCTGGTGCCCGACTTGACACAATTCTACAAGCAATATAAATCGATCAAGCCCTTCTTGCAACGAGACACGAAGTCACCAGATGTGAGTGGCCAGCACACCCGGGAGGCGGCGTCGAAAATCTGCTAACACGTTGCAGGGCAAGGAGAACCGACAATCACCGGCGGACCGAAAGAAGTTGGATGGTCTCTATGAATGCATTCTGTGCGCCTGTTGCTCGACTTCCTGCCCATCATACTGGTGGAACAGCGACCAGTACCTCGGGCCCGCCATTCTTCTTCAATCCTATCGCTGGCTCGCTGATTCAAGGGACGAGCGCAAGGCTGAGCGCAAGGAGGCATTGGAAAACAGCATGAGCTTGTATCGATGCCATACCATTTTGAATTGCTCGAGAACATGCCCGAAGGGATTGAATCCGGCAAAGGCTATTGCTGAGATCAAGAAGAGCATGGCTTTTGCTTCATGAGCGGTTTCCTTTGACGGGGTGGGCGATTCATTTGTCTTTCACACACAGTGCTATTGTCAGATAGCAGACTGCTGTACATATACATCCAAACGTCTGATGTTTACGGCCCGAATACGGTGGTCCACGCCAGAGGCTATGTACGGAGTGTTCGGAAACTGTGCGGCATCTGGAAGCCCTCTCTGCACAAAAGTCATTGCAATACCGTCATTGGTGGACGGTGTTTCCTTATCAACCCGCAGAATGCACTAAATCACTCGGCCGAGACTATTTCCGTACAAGTGCTCCGTCCGGAGTACGGAGTCGCACCAGTGTCAAAGACGCTGAAATCAACAAGCATAACAAAACCTGATGGCGCAATTTGGCCCAGGCATTGCGATCTCTTGTGCCCCTCGGGCTTAAATACACTTCCAGCCATGCAGAACACGAATGGTGGACAAGCTCCAAGCAGCCTACAGCTCTGGCTCGACTCCTTCAGTCTTTCAGGCCACCGTCCTCCGCGGACGCGTGCGGCGGAATCCATTCCGGTGACTTCGCAGGCGAGGCAGCAACAATCCCTTGACGACCGACCTTTCTTGCACCTCGACGAGACCACCACAAGAAACGACGATGGCGATGGCAAGGGTGACGGTGACGAGACGGTTCTATATCTGGGTTACGGCTCCAACCTGAGTGCCGAAACATTTCGGGGCAAAAGAGGCATCCGGCCGGTCTCACAGGTCAACGTCGTGGTCCCGGCTCTGTCCCTCACCTTCGATTTGCCGGGTATACCGTACACGGAACCGTGCTTTGGCAACGTGCGACGTCGAGACGAAACCCTCGAGTCGGAGGATTACCACAAAGACCACTGGTCCAAGGGGCTCGTGGGCGTGGTCTATGAAGTGACGAAGGAGGACTTCGTGCACATCATCGCAACAGAAGGAGGTGGGTCGGGATACGATGACGTGCTGGTGGATTGCTTTGCCCTGAGCGGTGAGCCCAGTCAAGACGTGCCGCTGAAGCCGACGGGACAGCCGTTCAAGGCGCACACGCTCTTCGCCCCGTCGAAGTTATCGCGGCCGGATCATTCCTATGCGCAGCCCAGCGCGAGGTACCTCAAGTTGATCACCGATGGCGCGACTGAACATGGACTGCCGCTGGAGTATCAGGCATTTCTGCGCCAGATTAGGCCCTTCCGCATGACAACCACGAGACAGAGACTGGGGTCGTTCGTGTTCTTGAGCGTGTGGTCCCCCTTCTTGTTGTTCCTCATTGGAGGAGCGGCGGCGATATTTCTGCAGCCGGACGGCACGTATCCGAAGTGGTTTGCCGAGTTCTTGAACGCTATGTTTACGGCTTGTTGGGCGAGCTACGACCAGTTCTTCAAGGAGCTCTTTGGCGACGGAGAGAGGACGATCGGTGACGACGAAGATGATGACCGGTATGTCAGCGGTGGCTCAGTGCTTGATGAGAAAGAGCGCTTGATCGAGAGACGCGGGGACAAGTATGGTGCGGTGAGCACGGTTGAACAAGTGGTGTGACAAAACATACGTGTGATAAGATCTTTTGAGTCCATGAAGAAATGAGCCTTCCCATCACGCTCTATATTGCTGGAGTTGGTGTTCGCGTGTATTTTGGAATATGTCAAAAGATCGAGGGTGGCTGAGATAAATATTGCTTGACATTCGTTAGACTGGGTGCTTTCTTTTCTCAACTGGTCTCACTTCTTCTTCACCGCCGCCAGCCAGCATAACGCTGCTAGCTATCTTTTACTGCTTCACCCTCCGCTCAGATGTCCGCTTCAAAGCATCCCACCGGCCATCCGTCACAGTTGGAAGGGTCTTTCTCTGCTCTTGTGGAGTATCTTCGAAAGAGCTTCCGCCATCAGGGAACAGTGAGGTGAGGCCCTCTCGATCAGTTCATTGAAACCGCCCTGCTGATGCACATCCCGCAGTATCCCAGAGGATATTATTGCGCCCTTCAGGCAACCATTTCGGCCCACCGACAGCTCGCTGCTTCGTGATCTGGCAAAGCTGCTTGAAAATGGCCGACCTTACAAGAATATTGTCCGGCTTGATTCGCAATCTTTCTATTCGGTTGTGTCAATCGTCTTGCATTTCCCGTACTCTGTCGTGCAGAGCAAGTTGTTGTATGTCTTCATGGTCAGTGGCTTTCCGTTTGTACTCTCGAGTCAGGCTGACTCGATCAGGACGCCATTCGTCAGTACAAGAATGAGGACACCCTTACCTCTGTCTTGTCATGCATCCATGGCACTGACCTGACACCAAACGAGGTCAGGGAGCAAGGTGATTACATCGGAAAAAAGCTCTGTGCCTGCGTACTGCGCCACCTGGTGAGTAGGGACAAGGAAGCCCAACTGCGTTGGACGGTGAGTACTGAACCCCCTTTAGAGGTGTCGCCGAACTAACGTTACGCAGCTAGCACAATTCCTCTCCGTCTTGATTCACTTCAGTTTTGCGGCAAGAGATCAGATCGTGGAAATGGCGGAATGGCAAGAACTGCAACCCAGAATGTGTCGTGCGCTGACCTCGAATAGCCCACTTCTAACGACCATCCTCGAGGTAGACCGAAGCCACTTCCTCCGGATACTGGTTGCCGATGTCATCCGCGAACTGCTCTACAACGGAACCGAACGAGTGGTTTTCGGGCGATCTCCAGGGTTGCGCAAGATTGTTGAACATTTCCCACTGTCACCAGTGGGGGACTCGAAGTGGATGGGCGAGGTGATCGAACACTTCAGCCAGATTGATCTAGCGAGAGCCTTTGTTGAAGAGTATGCTGTAATTCAAACTTGGTGAGACTCGCACTGATTAAATCGCAGGCCTGAACGAATTTTCATGGTCCAACGCCTCGAGTCCGACGGCAATAAATTCTTCGAGAGTCCCTCTCCATTCGTGGCAACCGTGACGAGTGAAATATCGTTTCTGGCGCCCAAAGCCGCGGACACAGGCATGATGACTCTAGTATCTGTTCCAGTGACGAAGGACATGTCCGTCAATTGCATCGCCTCGGAGTCGAAATCGTCAACGATCCTGGAGATTCAATACCCAAGAGATGAAGGTGATCGATTTGTGAACGGATCCAGGAGTGCCATAAACAGCCTGACGATTACCTTCTGCGACGAAGAGGCCATAGATAGCTTTACACAATCCATTCAAGAACTCCGCGACAACAGGACACCAGGAAGTGCGCCCAAATTTCCTTGGACACCTAGGAAGCAGTCATTTGCGATCGTCAATGTCAGCTCGACTTCTGAAGATGACGGTCACAATGAGGGTCGCGCCTTGAATACTATGAGCACTTCTGAGATCGAAGTGTCGTCTCCTCTACGCGATATTTCATTGCGTCATCTGCAGAAGAGCGACTCAGCAACTGACCGTCTATCACAGAAGCAGACAGCTACGGCTCTGTCTCGCATAGGAGCTGGAGATGGAGAAGATACACCTGCATTGAGGAAAGCCCCAAATTCACGCCAGTTGATCGAACGCTTGCGTGCTTCCCAGGAGGAAGCGACAGACTTGCCTCGCAAAGTCGGGTCAGGTTCGAGACGGTCGCATCTGCCTGGCAGTCCATCTAAGGCCGACCCTGCGGAAGGAGCGGTGACACAGAAGCAGCCGACCCGCCATTCTACGGCTGCCAATGGATCAGCTCGCGGTGCAGCGCCTGCCTCTCCGGGGTCCGAGTCGAAACGCAAGCGCCATGCTGAGCCAGCAAGCAGCTCACTTTCTAACCAAGCGAAGAAGAGATCCAAGGCTGCTGACGCCACTACGCAAGCCAGCAGCAACCCAGACACACAGATATCCAGCCGTAAGAAGGGAACACTCAAAGACACCATGGCTCGACTGATTGGGGCTGGGAAAGACGCCTCCAAGGCCGGCGCTGGCACGGCACAGACGGGTCTCAAGCGAAGAGCGAACAAAGAATCCACCACCCCTAAGGGCGAACAGTTTCAAAAGCCATCCAAGCCAGCCTCGGACGCTGTCAGTTTTGACCTTCCACCTACGGATGACGAGGATACCCGTCTTGTAAAGAAAGCAAAGACCGGAGCCACTAAGCGTCCCGGCAAAACGGCTGTCAGAGGTCTTGGGGAGAAGACGAAAAGTGCTGTTCAAGTCGTGGCTTCACCGAAAGGCCGCAAGAAGAAGCCAAACAGCAAGCCGAAGCCCAAAGAGCCTGGAGAGAAGAAGTCACAACCGACTGCAGCCTCGAGCCGAGCGAGAAGAGCTCCCAAAACACCCAAGTACATTGAGAACTCAGATGAAAGCGAAGAAGATGTTACACCCGGAGAGACTAGCGTTGAGGAAGGGATTGAGGAGATACACAACGCCGATAACGTCGAGGAGACGGCCAAAGACTCACTTCCAATCAGCAAGGGCATACTTAGGACTGCTGCCGAAGCGTCGCAACTTGAGTTCATGACCCATGTCGAGTCGCAACTTCAAGAAATGGTCGACAGAGAGAGCACTGACGACGAAGCTGGCTCTAGAGACAAGCATCCTCTGCAGGATTCAGCCAACGAACAACCTACTTTGAGAGACAAGCCACCGGCCCAACTGCCTAGAGAAATGCACAAGCAAACTGTTTCGGAGAAGGCGCCTCCTGTTTCGGAAATCATAGCCACGCAGCCTGTCTCGGAGAATACCTCAAAGCCAATATCTGCTGTAGCGGGAGATACGCTTGGAAAAGACGACGCGCCTATACGGAATCCATCAGATGGTCGGATCGTCGTGGCGAAAAGCCCTTATACTTCGATGCTTAGGGAGAAGCAGACCCCCACAAGGGAGAAGCTCACCGAACAGGTCTCCACCCAGCCAAAGGCTACTCCACAACGCAATACAAAGCGTCTAAGCGAAAGTTCAATTCCACCGGCGAGCGAAAAGTTGCTGCGAAAGACCCCAATAGTGCATTTTGGGCCACAAGGACCGGCCAACCAGGCTATGCAAAGCAAGCCTGCTCGGAAAGAAGTTACTTTCAGAAGCTCAGCGGACAAAAGCTATGGACAGCCCCAAGCATCACGATTTGACGATGACGAACATACTCAGGTTAGGGATCAGCGTGCCCAGCAACCGAGGCCTGAACCTCCAGATCCGATCCGCCAGGTCGATAATGCTGAAGAAGCCATTAAGAGCGCCCCTTGGGAAGAAGACTCCCAGCTTCCTCCCCCGGACGATGCTGCCAACGACATCCATGTGGAATATGTTGATGATCTTGGAGAGCTTTCGATCTCAGAAGGCAAATTCAAGTCACCGGAGATTGAAAAGACACAGCCCCGATCTCCACGAGAAGCGGATCCCTGTGAGAAGGAGGTTGCTGAGGTAGAAGCAGACGATGAAGATGATCCCTCGAAGATGAAGAGTATTGACACAGACGACACGTCTTTTTTCGACAAGTCCTACGATCAAGAAACCTCAGAGTATGTTGCATCTGAGCCCGAACAGGGGGCCAGTGGAAAGTCACCACCAGGTCCTGAATGTCAACGATCGCGCAAGCCTGATGCCACCATCCTAGGGGCAGAGACGCCGCTTCTTGATGACGATGCAACCAGCCAAGGCAATCAGAGAGCCAAGGAACCTCTAGTCTCCCGATCGGCAATTCGTCAATCTATCGGGCTCAGCGCCATCTTGGATGAAGAGTACCCTACGGCTCAGAAAGTTATCAACCCGCAGAAGCTTAGACCGGCTCGTCAGTCAGCTGCGGTGGACCAGACCAGTCAAGCCCGGATCTCGTCCATCGGATCTTCTTCATTCACACAGATATCCAAAAGAGCAGATATACTTGAGCCGACAAAGCATGCAGACACCTGGAAAGAGGCTCAAAGGACTAGCACTGCTCCTGGCATTCTTTCCATGTCCCCTAGGCAAGCAGTTTCAGCGAACAAGAGCAGCGACTATGATATCGTACTTCAGTACGAGAAGGGGCGCACCCAACTTCCTCCTCGGTCCTCAAATGCGGCCTCGGAAAGCGCACTGCACGTTGGAGACACATCGGTAGTAAAGCCAGGTACAATAAACGATTCCCCTGCACGTCCGGGACAAGACTCTAGCAGGGTGACTGCCACATCGCCTCCATCAAGGACAGCCCGTTCAATGGCTCCGCCTCCTCCACCGATGATACTGCCCACTAGAGTCAGTAGTAAACCTGGTCATGCTCGCAAATCCTGGCCTGAATCACACGTCGAGGGAGCGACGCGAGCTGCCGAAGCACCAGTAAAAGAGCAAGTCAAGCCTATCAATGCCGGGCCCGTCCGAGTGAAGAAGAGACTGACCCTGCCGCTTGCCGCTGAGGAGCAAATCCAAAAATCCGACGTGCCACCCGCCACGCCTGCATCATTCTCTACACGTCTCGATTTGCACGCAGATTTGTCAACTCATCAAGCACGCAACGATGGGGACTGGAGAATGGAATATGGGGCCCAGAGGTTCGGCAATGGGAGCATGACGCTTGTGAACGAAGAGGAGTCTGGCCCTGAAGAGCGCTCAGGAATTTGGACCAGGCCAGGTCGCAGGCAGGGGCCAGCTTCAGGCGATGACATGTCCAAAGCTGCGTCTCCTTCTCGCATCTCCCGCGGGAAAGAACACGCTGGGGACAGGGACGGTCTCGTAGTGGGAAAGGTAAATGCTCGAAGCTCTCAGCGAGCTCTTTTGTCCGCCATAGTCAACATCACCAATGTGAGTGCGATCCCCTCAGTCCCATGATTACTGACCCTTCTGCAGGATGTGTTATTCCGCTTCGGCGAAGAAGAGGACGCCATCCAGGCTAAAGTCGACCAGTACGCTCACGGCGGCAGAGCTATCATCGAGACTCTGACGGACGCTTGGAATCAAAGACTCGAGCATGAGCACAAGATACTCTTGGAAGGGCTCAACGCGGAGCAGGAATCTCTGTCAACAGCAGCATGTCTCCTGACAGAAAAACATGGTGGTGGAGCCTGGAGAGAGGCCATTGCCGATGACAGGTTGCTTGGCAAGGTGCAGAAGAAGGGTGCTCGACTTACGGAGCAGATTGAGACAGTGATGCAGTGAGTGTAAGATTGGTCTGGAGCAGGGACTCTACAATTTGGTCAGAATGCACCCATGAAGAGTATGTCATCTTTACGACTGAATGTCACCTTGGAGCCGTGTCTGTTTTCGATGGCGAGATGTGGAGCGGTTAATGGGTTGCTGGAGAGGATGTGGTAGCCTCGGACGGCCACCGGAAGGCCAATCTCTGCATCACAAGGCTGCCTTGCCTGTGGGAGACCTTCTACCCTCTGGTGTGGTGTGAGACTGGGACAAGACAGAGTGAATTTGTGGAGGATGGAGCAGTGCATCACCAGTAGTGGGTATGGATGACGTCGAACTGCTGTACATCACACTACTCGTACCTCGTACGAGGTACTGGGTATGCGACTCGTGCGAGTATGAAACATTTGGTCACTTGCGAAGCTATAAATAATCCTGGGATCGTCCGTGATAACCGATTCGTGGAGGCACCAGAAGGTGGACGCATGCTCATGCCACTGCCAAGGGACTTTGGATCTCAGATTCACACCACTTGCATGGCCAAAGCTGCGGATCGTCCTTGGCTAATTTACCTGTTACCTCGTATGGCTAACTTAGTCGACTTTCAGGTACCGAGAACCTCACAGCCACCTACCACAGTACTCAGTATGGAGTACTGTGTAACAGCTTTATGCCTCACCCAGCTTACGTCAAGTGGCGTTTGCGCCGAAAGCCGACGGTAGCACCAAGCCTGCGCAAGCTTCCTGAAAGCTTGACTTCGCCTCAAAGCGCCCTCCTCTTCTCTCTCGTCGTCATTCAACGCCCAATCAAACCCTTGACCTGCGCTAAATGGCTGTGCCCAACAGTGGGAGACAAGCTTACCAACTTGCTCAAGGTCACGCGCTTCGCCTGATGCGAGGCAGCGACGATCCTCGCCTCAATGGCAAATTCTTGATGTTGCTCTTTACCTGAGGCATGCAAGCCTCGATCCTACCGGCACCTCAGCCGCGCAACATACGCCAGTGATGGTTCATGTGCCACAGTCCGAGTACCCAGGACCCAGTACAGAACACCACTCGTGAGTGACTTGCAACTGTGGGCTCGCAGGACACACGTGGGTACCATGTACTGCAGATCCGTGCAAGGTAGGTAACTCGTACAGTGCATATAATGTCCTCACGACGGCTCATTTGTAAGTACTCACTCGTCACTCATCTGCAAGTACTCACTCCGTCACTCACTCGCCACGAATTGGACATCTCTCGTATCTTGCTTAACAAGCTCATCAATCTTGCACATCGACCTTCGAAACCTGAAGCTCCCCTCCCAAGGACCCATCTCTCACTACTCGTAAACCGCAAGTCGCAATAAGTCAAAGTCGCCTTACGTTTCGTACGATTCACTCCTGAATTACTCACCATGGTCGCCTCATCGCTCTTCGCGGGCGTCATCACCCTCTTCGCACTGGGTGCCAGCGCAGCTCCAAAAGCGATCCACGCCCGTCAAACCACCACCACCACCACTGGCACGGAAAACATCGGCCTCTACCTCGACAGCGACGATTTCGACATCAACTCCCTGCAGACCCTGCGCGTCTCGTACGCCAACACGTCGGCCTACATAGGCCAGATCAAGTACGAGGCGTACGCGGAGCCCCTGGTCATCGGCGCCTTCGACGACGGCGACCAAAACAGCGTCTCTTTCCTCTCGATCCACCAGAGCCCCACGGGCTACCAGCAGATGTACATCATCGCCGACGAGACCCAGCCCGTGGGATTCAGCGTCCCCCACGGCAGCGCTCCCCAGGGCGTCACCACGTCGGGCTTCTCTTTCGGACCCGAGGGTGCGTTGCTGAACGGCGGCGTCAACAACTTCTATGCCTGTCAGAACGCCCAACAGGCGGCGATGAATACCTGGCAGATTTGGTGGTTCGGGGCCGGACAGCCCAACGCTGTGGGCTGCAAGGGGCCCATTAAGCTGGTCGCGGGTGATGCGTGCGCGAGGTCTTGAAGCGTGTACACAGTATCGTAGTTGGGGGTCGTGTTGATCGAAGCATGAAGGGAGGGTTGTAACTTTAAGCATCAAGCATTGAACATTGCATTGGACATTAGCATTAGCATTAAGCATTAGGTATTAGGTATCGAATTTGGACATTAGCATTAGGCGTTAGGCATTGAGTACTGGACATTGAATACTGGACATTGAATACTGGACATTGAATACTGGACATTGAGTATCAACATCAAACATAGCACATTGCACATTGGTGAGCACGAATCATGAAGCCTTAAATAAGTAGGAGCATGAACTCCGTGCCGTGTACTGCATAATACAGTACATACTGTACCTCGTACTGTAGACTCCAATGTCTTGTCATGTCGTGGCCAGAGCATAGTCCTAGGTGAGTCCAGTAGTTAAAACCCGAAATCTGAGCAACCGGTACCTCTGTAGCCCTGTGTCCAAGTCTGAGATGGGAGCCCGTGGCAGAGAAACTGATGCGATGCGTGCATCCGTCAAAATAAACAAGGGATTGTTAGATTGATAGACATAAAACGCACCCGACTTAAGTGGCGCCCGATGTGCTGTAGGTGATACAGTAACGCAGAACTTGATTCGATCTCAACATGTAGCTGGAGTGACCGAGGATTTCGACGCTTGGAACTTGCAGAAGCACCTGTACATACTTGCAAGGTCATGAGCACGTCCTGGGTGCGTCCCTTTCGACTTTTCTCCCGACCTCATCACCGTGGCAATGGTCCAGGGCAGTCCGCGCATCAACATGTCGGAGGGAGTCCTCACTCTCGAATCTAGAATCTAGAATCTAGAAATGCTTCCCCGTGGCCGCCTGCGCCAGGAATTCCTCGGGCATATCCACTTTCTGCTCGGTACAATTCCCCTCCCTGTCCACCAAGACGGCGTGATTCTTCTCAATGACGTTCCACTCTTCGATTTTATACGTCGACGGTTCGCTCGCCACAATCACGTGTTTGCCATGCTCCGCTGCGCTCTTACTCGGGTTGGGGTTCCCGACCCCTGCGTCGGGATGGTCCGGGTATTTACTGTTCAGCGTCACCCCCGCCGTGGTGCTGTAGTATAATGACGGAGGGTTCTCGACCGCGTGGTTGCGCAGGCGCACTGAAATAAGTTGCTGCCCATCCGTACAACATACGTTCAGGGAACAGGCTTGCACATTTTGCGGTCCCAGCGTGGACTGTTGGAGCGCGATGACCTGGTGGAAGGAAGTGACGAGAGCGTCCAGCATCTCCGTGGGCTGATACTGTCGTTCCCAGCTCGTCGTGCCGTCCCCGACATTCTTGGTCAAGTTGGTCATGTACAGTGCTGCCAGGTGTTCCGAGTCCGTCGTGCCGTGGATGTTCTCGTACGCCGACTTTTCGATCAGATCGAGCATGGGCCGCCGGATGTCGGTGAAGTGGCTGATCAGTCCGTTGTGCATGATCGTGTGCCGCCCAAATGTGAACGGGTGGTTATTTATCGCCGCGACGCTGGTCCCTGTTGCGGCTCGGATGTGCGCGAAGAGGCCTTTCGTCGCGGTGCCCGCGCAGATGCTGTGGAAGTTGGCGTCGTTATTCGGCGGTTGGGCATTCTTGTAGACGACTGGGCGACTGCCTTCGATGTCGGTGATGAAGCCGGAGCGGGATGGCGTGTACCAGACCATGCCGAAGCCGTCGACATTGTTCAGGCGGTTTCGTAGTGTGATTTCTTGCTTGGTGGTTTGTTCACCGGGGACGTGAGAGAAGAGTTTGGGGAGGTAGTGGTCGTGCACTTGCTTGGACAGGGAGTGTTGCGGCGTGATCAGGACGTCTTCGAGGAGACAGGGTTCGGTAGGCGAGATGTAGGCGAACCAGCGGCACATTTTGAGCGCGTGTCAGATGTCACGAATGGGTGAGGAGTTGGTGAGAACAGGTTGTGACAAGCACGGTAGATAGCTTAGGCTAGTCGGAAAGGAAAGTTAACTTGTCGATGGTGGAGATGGAAGAGGTGAGGACAAAGCAAGATGGCACAGCTGAGGTTCACGAGCTCCCCCACATTTTTCAAGAACAAGTCATCATTCTCGCCTACCTTGAATTTCCCATTCAGCGCGGCCTGTGGCACCACATGCGGTATCGAAGCCGGCAACAGGTCAAACTTGGAATAAGATGCAGGAACATCAAATCGCCATCTGGGGGCAACGTAATCGTTGACCAGCTCAGTAAAGGCCTGTGAGGGGCCTGTGAAAGATCGACGTCATTGGGCTAAGCTTTGACCAAGCCCCGGTCACGTGATATAGCTTAAATTATGGGGTTCTCGAAAAGAAATTTCAAAGACCTCCAACAAACGTCACTCACAACAGGCTCGTCACAGGCAAGTCTCGCGCTTGACGACGTTCTCAGTTCTTAGGAGACATCGGTTCTTGGCGAGCTTCCTCTTGCTTGATTTCTAAATCAAGGTGTCTCGCGCCGGGTATGAGAGACTGATGAGCCTCCTTCACACGAGCGGTGTGAGCCCAATCGAGATTCTTTCTCTTGCGCGATGACCGTAAAGGATACGCTCACCTGTTCGAGGAGGTCTGACTATATCTGCATAGCATCCACCAGTGGTAAGACGACATTTGCGTGGACAAAGAGCCTAGAACCGCTCTCCGCGACGACAAGATGCAGCATTTCCTAAGAATAGCTAACGTCGATGATACAGCAATATCTCCCCTCACAACGCGAGCATAAGTCAACGGATAGCAGGTTCTTCTCCATGGACGACGTGTTTTGCCCTAGTGACAATACTGAGTATACTCGCAAAAGCCCGGTTCGAAGTGTGGGGTACACAAAACGAAGGCAAGTTATAACGCCTCATGCGATACGATCTCATCGTGTCAAAGGCCTTTTTTGAGACGAAGCACCTCGAATCTCCTCATCCCGATATTCTCACAGAATATAGCATGCTTTTGGGTCTCTCATTTGATCACGGAATCCCCGATGAGGGAGTTTACGCCTACGCTTTTCGTCCGAACCTTGATTCAACAGCACTGATTTGAAAGCCTTCAGCATCGGTTTCGACAAGTCCATCTTTCTCCGAGGAGCCTGCAGTGATCTCGGATCTCGCATTCTTATGTCAGCAGTCCCTGTGGAGCGTATTTGGAGCTCACCGATGGAAAATGTGGTGCTATTTGCCTCTGGTGTACACCCGCGGCCTGGACGGATTGATCGAATCAGCCATGACAATGTATTTCCACGAACTTGATCCGATTCCGAGCAAGTCCTCCTGTGCGTCCAGAATGATTCCATAATCCACGGCCGCTTGGTGGGAACGCCAAGTAAAATCGTATGCTCGCTACCCGTTAGTCAGCGGCAGCCAAGCGACATGCAGCCTTGTGACAGGAATCTCCATCTGGCCAGCAAATTACCAGAATGTACGCAGTTCGCCCTTGGAATGTCGATTATGACGGAGTGCGTGAACCGCCGGCATAAAAGCGTTTGATGGCCCGGCTAAGACGAGCATCATTCAACAAGCAAGTAAGTGCTGGGCCTACGACAAAGTGCGATCCATTCTCCAGTATACAGCGCCTCAACCACTATCCAACATGCACCAAGGACAGCCTCGTTTCAAGGTCTACTCCTCCCCCGCTTCACAGTGGGCAGGTGTTCCTCTTCTCGGCCTCGTGGAGAAGGGCTACGATGAAAAAGAGTACGAAGTGGAAAACATTGATCTGAGTAAGAATCAGCCCGATCACCGAACTGTGGCATGTGTTCGAGCCAGTACTGACATGTGTCGTCTTTGCGCAGTGGGTGCCGGAAATTTCCATCCCGATTATGTCAAGATCAATCGAAACGGGACAATCCCATCCTTGACGAGCGCTTCGCTCGAACAGCCTCTCAGCGAAAGTGCGGACATCCTTGTTTATCTCAACGACTCGCGACCATCGGGTTTGAATCTGGCAGCCAAAGATGATGCCACTTCTCGTGCGGTCAAGCAGCTCGTCGACCTCGTCCATAGTCCCGAAGTCAGCACCAATATCATTCTCCTGATGGCACGCGACGCCGAAGAGATGCAGGCCAAGCAGAAAGGTCCGTTCAACGACTTCCTCCGGAAACGCCAGGATACACTGGAGAAGTACCACAAGGAAATCCCGGACAGCGACTTCTATAGTGCGCGTCGCCATATGAATGGCGCGATTTACCACCATTACGTCTCGTCTGATGGCCACCCGCAGTTCTTCCAGCAGAGCCAGGAAGCCTACCGTGGTTTCGCCGCGGGTATGGACAAGTTGGAGTCGTTGATTGTTCTACCCTATGCGGTGGGGTCAGAGTTGACATTTGCGGATCTTCACATCGTGCCCTGGCTGGCTCATGCTATGTTCGGCGCTGGTGCGAAAGAGTTGGACGACTTCGGCAGCTTGGAGAACCTGATCCGCAAGACGGTACCTGATTTCAAGGTCGGTCCCAAGACGAGGGAGTGGTTGGGTAATATGATGAAGCGGGAGTCGTTCAAGAAAGTATATCCCTTCTTGCATTGAGTGGAGGTCTGAATGATCGGTGCGTGGACAGATCTGCCTCTTTTCGGGGCTGTTCGATATACAGGATCGAGAATCCGACCGTCGTTTTCGAAATAAGGGGCTTCAATCTGTCATCAACCTAGCAGCCCAATCGCAATGTCACTCTGCTTATACGTCCTGTTTCATGTTGTTCATCTGTCTCTCCGGATCCTCAAGGTTGAATCTTATTGTAGAGTCTGGTCACTGCTGACGGCCAGGGCATGCCAAGGCAAAGGACAACCGTAGTAGTATGTGGTGTGACCATACGCAGTCTCTTCATCCAAGTATGTCTGACCCAACACAATACCTCACACATAGGTCGACAATTCATTACTTGTACAACACGATATAGTGAGCTGAGGTTTTCCATAACGCCGATACAAGCAACAACTGGTGCCAATCCTGAAGCCTCAGGGAGCTTGGAAGGAGCGGAGTAGAGCGTGCATGTCCGTATCGACGCCAATCTACCCGGCTTCGTCCTGTCGTTCGTGATCTTCGCCCTCGATGACACCATTGCGACCTCGAGTACATCGCGGTGGTTTAGGTATATGGGACTGAAAACTCGATGAGCAGAGCGCAGCGCAGTCGGCAAGTGACGAACTACTAATTCATCCTTCGACGACAAATAGCTACGGGAAGAGACATCTATCGTGGTCCTGCACATCTTCCAGATCCATAACCGAGATCTTCTTCTCCTCTCTCACCCTACCTTGCCAGACTCGGGCCATTCCACAGCCATGGCAACCTCTGTACAATCACTCCCACACCAAGCACTCAGGATTGAGGCCACGTTGTCCAACCTCGTGGCCTTTGAGTCCTTTGACCTGCCTCGGAGCAACCAAAAGGTCCTTGGAAGCCCTCACCCGGCCAACACAGTCACCCCTCTAGCACTAAGGCCCTGCACCGCCGCCGATACCATCACCGGCGCAGAGCCCACGCTCGACAATGTCATCGAGACGGTCAAGTTTCTACAATCCCAGCCGCAAGGAGGCGTTCTCACGCAAAAGCTAGCCCGTCACGGCACGCTGCTCTTCCGCGACCTGCCCATCCACGACGCGCAGGACTTTAGCAGGTTCGCGCACGCGTTCGGCTGGACGGCCCACGAGATCATCGGCATCGTCGTCAGTCGGCCGGTGCTGGCGCCGAACGTGGCGCCCGCGAACGAAGCCCCCAAGGAGGTGCAGATCTACAACCACAACGAATCGCCCCAGGTGCCGCACGCGCCGGAGTATATCTTCTTCTACGGCCACCGGGTGCCCGAAACGGGAGGCGAGACGCCCATCTCGTCGTCGCTGGAGCTCTTCCACCGCGCGAAGCAGGAGATGCCGGAGTTTATCGCCAACCTGGCCGAGAAGGGCATCCTCAGCAAAGTCACGTACAAGCCCGAGGTGCAGTACGCGGGCGGGTCGACGCTCCGGCAGGCGTTTGGCAAGGAGATCCAGGACGGAGATGACGAAGCCACGCGCAGAGCGAAGATCGAGGCGCAGATCGCCCGGTACGGTCGAGGCCAGTATACGACGTGGGAGTGGCGCGACGATGGGAGCCTTGTCTTGACCCACAGGCTACCGGCGATCCGCACGCAGCCGGGGACGCACCTCCCGACGCTGTTCACCGGGCTCGCTGCGTACTATAAGCGCTTTCTGGCAGCCCATGATGGCGACGGAGATGCGAGGAAGAACACCACAGAGCAATTGTACGGCGATGGGACGCCGATTCCCGAGGAATACCTGGCGCGGTTGGCCGAGATCACGGATGAGATTCGCGTTTTGCATAAGTGGCAGCGTGGCGACGTTCTCGTGTATGACAATATCATCGCGCAACATGGCAGACAGCCTTGGCAAGGAGAGCAAGAAGATCGGGTCGTGATGGCGAGTCTATTTGACGGCGTCGTGCCTGGAGCGTACGTGCCGGAGGAATGGGCTCAGGTCGTGCAGGCGCTGGAAGGATAGCGATCTGACTAATTACCGTGCAGTGCAGTGCAGTGCAATGCCACCATTTACCCCAGATCTTGAGTCTCGAGTCACAATTTCCAAGGTCCACTTAGGCTTCTATCAGCATGCCCCAAAGTAAGACCCCCTCTCCGCCTTGCTGGGCCCATCCTTCGGCGTTGACGACTCCTTGGCCTATTCGCACTTCCTCAGCTACTTGGAACCCGAAGTGGGCGTACACCCCTTTGGCATGTGGGTTGGTGGCTTCCAGCCAGACCGGGACGTTTTGATCGCGGGCCTTCTGCACGAATGGTTCTATCAAGCCGCGGATGGCACCTGCGAGAGGGCGCAAGAGAGTCAGCGACACTTTCGGCACCCTAGTCGCGGAAAAGTACCCGGTCTCGCCCTGTGGTGGTCGAGGAACGCAGCAAGCATACGCACCTTTCTCCTGCCTGGAGGGTGATCTGCCAATGAGGTTGAGATACCAATAAGGACGGTCGCCCATGTACTTTTTCTTCAGCGCGTCGAACTTCTCGCGGTACTCAGCCGCTCCTTCGGAGACAGCACCGCTAGGGACAGGCTTCTTGGTGCCTGGAGGGAGCCTATCGTTCTTTTCAGTGGAATGGTCGAGCACTTGGTCAAGCCCTCCCATTGCCCCTTCGATAGGGGGTACCTGGGGTTGGGGATACCCAAGCCTTTCTTTCTTTCTTAGCCTTACCACAAAGCCACTGCCGCAAAGTCGTATGTCTGGACCAAAATGCCTCCATTTTTGTACCGGTCCGTAATGAGCGGTATCCAGAACTCGACCCGCAGGTCGTGTTGCGATAGTTTGGGATGGTCTGGCCGTGACTCACGGCCCAGGAAGAGGTATCGATTGAGGGCGTCGTTGGAAAACGCCGCACAGATAACCTGCGCAAATCTCGGCACGTCTTCGTCCCGTGTTATGGTAGTGAGGGTTTGTTCGTTGTTGAGTGCCATGGTCGATTTGTAGCGAAGAGAGCACCGTGATCTCGATCCACTCCTTTGGATGTGTCTCTTACCTCGATGCAAAATATACGGAATCGAAGTTGGATGTGTGTGTGACACAGACCCACATACATGGGGACAAGGACGAATAGGTACCTACTCTGCATGTACGGAGTACTCTCGTAGTCATATCGGATAGTCAGTCGGAGAAGTCCACTAGTTCATGCTGAAGGGCGGGCCATGAGCGGCGAGCCACAGTGCTTGCAAGGTCTAGGCGGCCGCTTTTGACGACTCGAGCGCTGAAATGGGCTGTTGGCTTGAACGGGCAGTCCGACGAGAAATAGAATACAAGCACGGAGGTAGGTCGCTGCAAAGATATATACGCCATCTGTGGACGGCTGTGGCACGTAGCGAGCCATGGCCGTTGTGGCGTTCACGCAATACCCGTTTTTGGTGAGAAGGAATGAGAGCGACTGACGCCTGTTCTTGACGCTATCATCATCGTTGTCGCCGAAATGGTCACTGGAGTCGTGGTAACAGTCGCTTGGTCGCCCAACGTCGTGGCTTTTCGAGGGTAGGTACAAGCATCTCTGGAACATTACGAGCCAGAGAGAGTCCGTGCCTACAACGCTTGGAGACGAATCAGTTGCAAGTCCTCGTGGCTTGAGTCAAGACGATCATGGGCTTGGGTGCAAGATGCCTTCAGTGCGCAGACCGGTGTGGTGGCGCGGAAGCATTGTGACAATGGAAGGTGTTGATTGCGCCTGTGGAGAAGTGGTTCGCCCAACGACGCGCGTTTGCCGCTGTCATGCTCTACCGTATTTCAGTATAGGGAATGGTTTGCAAGAAAAGAGTTGAATCACCTGTATTCACTATTATTTACTTCCCTTTTCTTCCACTAAATCTCGCCTCATTTATGTGTGAGATTTAAATGACGCGACACGAGGCTCTCCTCAGACAAGCAACGGCAAGCCGAGTAGCAGAGTCCCGTCCGCATTGTCGCTCAACGAACTCGCGAGAATCGTTCAATGACGAGTTGCACGCGACACAAGCGTTGATGGCGCGTCCCTGGGGCTAAGAGATGGAAATGTGGTAAATGGAAAGGCAAAGTGCGGACAGCATGAAGTCTCCTCGAGACTACCTTCTTGTGCAGGCGATATCCAACACACCATCGGTGGTGCAGGACTAGGCTTGGACCACAATGTTGCCCGTCGGTCCAGCCCCTTGCGCATCCATGACAGGTGCATGCTCTGTGCTAGCCCTGAAAGGAGCGTGGAACGTACTTAAGGAACCAGCGATGCAATGCCTGGCGACCATCGGCACCTGCCGAGCCGTTTTGGGCGACATTCGGCGACTGCCTGGGATGAGATCTCAAGAACAGGAACTCTGCCATTATGTGTTCCGCGGTATCACCTGGCCAGCGTCTTTGGATGGCTTGGGCTTTGTTATTCATCTGTTCGGTCTGTTTGCGCCACTGTTAGGCTCCGTCGTGGGCGCAGATGAGCTAGCACAGAACTCTGGTGGTGCCATGATCTTGTTGGAAAGAACACGCACTGATTTGTCACGGGCTTAGGAAGGGATGCTTGGGCCTTGATGCAACCGTTGGCGAGATGATCAGCTTGCTACGGTATCCGGTGAGTTTGTACAGACAAGATCCCCCGTGGTGTACTAGCTCGGCGCGTGCGTTCCTACTGAACCCGACGGCATGCGAGAACAGCCGTGGTTCCAGCTCTGAGCCTCGCCTTCGGGGCTATGCTATGTTATATGGAGTGTGGCTCGTTACGGGGTATGCTATATTTTCGAGTGACATATCATTTTGTTGCCTGTCTTGAACCAATCTGGGACTGGCCATTTTGATCCTCCCTACTTTGGTACTGGGAGAGATGCGCCTTCGCTTGCCTGCGCGATCCTCTTACAAGACGGCTTCTCGTGGCTGCGCTTCTCAAAATCAAGGTGTGTTGTCAGGTGGAGTTCTACTCTGGTACGTCCAGATTCATTTCCTCAGGATTTGTTGACCTCATGCTCTCTGCGGGTTTGTGCAGCCAACCATCAGATTTTGAGGCTATTGTCTCCTATTCGGTGTTGGATGGGAGAGCAGTCTGTTGGGCAGCTGGGGATGGGGACCCCAGGTAAAGCTCTAGACCAGGTGCTAGCCGATTCCATAACTGTTGACTCTCCGGCAGGAAAGATTTGTTGCTTGCACCGTTGTGCCGGCCGTACTCCGTGTAATTCGCTTCTTTCAGGGTCCGCCCAGTCGATGAGACGGCACCCCAAAGGCGGTGCAGGAATCGACTTCGGATCCGGACTCATTTCGAGAAACTTGGCGCCAACGCAGGTGATGCAATCCTGGACCCTCTCTCCAGACTGTAATGCCGTAGCCACCCAGGGCGGTGGACAGCCGAGGCAGTCGTGTTCAGGCTTTATGAATGGCCAAACTCCTGTAAGATCATTCATGCTTCAAACAACATCTCGGTGCTTTACCAATGGCGATGGGAAGGGCAACCGCCCTTCTTGGGGCTGGGACGCAAGGCCGGCGTCTAGCCTACATGGTAAGGTTCACCTGCATCGTTCTGCATCTATGCTGAATCCGAGCTGATGCTGTGTGTTGTCGACAGTGGTCAAGCCAGGGTAGAGCTGTTCATCTCATTGATGCACAAGAGAAACAACTTTCCGACAGCCTGAAGTATATCGACGGCCTGAGAGATGCTTCCCAAAGGCCCGACGCACGATGGGGTGACATCAAGACCTTTACCCCAGATTCATTACGCACAGCACTCCAAGACACGTGGTTGATTGTCGAGGTAGGTGCAAATCAGCCACTCCGTCGAGCTTGGCAGTATAGCTGATCCACATCTCGTGTCAGTGCGTCCCAGAGAAGCTGGAGCTGAAGCGACAGGTCATCGCTCAACTCGACCAGATGGCACCAAAGGACGCCATCATTGCGTCGAACTCGAGCAGTCACAGCATTTCGGAAATCATCGAGGGCTTGAGCCTGTCCAACGCCCGTAGGGTGCTCAGCGCCCATACATACTGGCCACCGGAGACTTCGGCCATTGAGCTTATGGGTCATGAGAATACCGATCCTGGGGTTATTCCACTTCTCATGCAGCAATGTCGGGAGCACGGGTTCAGTCCTTTCCACGTGAAGAAGGATTCTATGGGCTACATCTACAACAGGATCTGGGCAGCAATCAAGAGGGAAGCATTGCTCACGGCAGCAGAAGGCGTGGCGACCCCGTCTGAGATAGACGCCATATTCAAGGACGTCCTAAAGACGCCCAAAGGTCCCTTTGAGCAAATGGACGTGGTCGGTCTGGATGTCGTACTCAACATTGAGGAGCATTATGCAGAAAAGCGTCGAGACATCCCTGAAGAGCCGCGGGAGTATCTGCAGCGATACGTACGAGACGGTCGACTCGGCGTCAAGAGCGGACAAGGATTTTATAGCTATTCGAAATCGTGACAGAGTCCACCCTCGACCATTGCGTAGATACCAGGTACATAGTTCGCAGGGCTGTTGTCAGGCGCGCCACGGTCTTTCCCGAGACGCCCTAAAGCCTACCTAGGTAAGCCTAAGCCTAAGCCTAAGCCTAAGCATCCCCCGCGCTGCTCCCCCGCTGCCCGCTCTCCTTCCTCTTCCCAAGCACATGTATCAGGCAACTGTAGCGACTTCGAGTCTAGGCGCCGTCAAGCCGCACTCTCTACCTACGGCCTTTCCACTTTCTGCCCTTCTCCCCATCTCCACCATGTGTTTGTACACCAGCCCGTCGTCCGTTGGTCGGCGAGGTCTCAAATGGCATGTCGCAAAGCGATCTAATTCCCCGCCGAATCCAGTTCTCGAGTTGTGACGAATGTCGACGAGCCAGAGTCGCGTGCGACGCTGGCAGAGCGCGCCGGAACCGAGTGGATCACAATGAGCTGGTATCCTGTACCAGATGCCTCAATCGGCACTTGCCATGCACATTCGAGGTGGGGACACACCCTTGACAAACACTTGACCGTAGATACGATTCTGACTGGGTCTGGATCTTGACAGTGGTTGAAGCCGGGCACAG